TATAGCTGATTATTTAAATCCTTTTTTCTAGGGAAGAAAAGGTGGTCATTAAAATGTGATTTTTATCTGCAGACTTCTCTAACTAATTTATTTCATTTTAATAAAAATGTCTCCTGACTGCCTGTGCTTCTTTTTTGTGCTGAAGCACGTCTTTTTCTAAATGTTTGACCAAAGGAAACATTATATTGAACAGTTTCTAATTGAAATGATCGTTATCTGATGTGTGTAATTTTACATGTTCTATTTTCACATTTTGTAACGCTAAAGCCACATACTTCCTCGTATTTAAATTAGATTATTTGCAAAGGATCCAATTGCTCTGTAGGTATGGAAGCAAATTGTTACCATATTTAAAATGAAAAAGCATTTCCAGAAATGCTTTTTCATTTTAAGAATGTGGCTGCATTGTTTCACTCATAAATGAAATTAGTAATCAATAATCCCATTTGCATTTTCATTTTCTTCTTCAACACCGCTCATCCTTTTACTTAATTAAAATGAAAAAGACATATGAGATTCATTTTCCAAATATACCCCAGCATATACATACCAAAATTCTATTTGAAATCTTCCTCAGGTCCTTGCTGACCGGGTTACCGGTCTTGTTCGGTAGGGGGCGCTGTGCAGAAAAAGCATTTCTGGAAATGCTTTTTCATTTTTAACTTTTACATTTCAAATAGAATTTTGGTATGTATATGCTGGGGTACATTTGGAAAATAAATCTCAAATGTATTTTTCTTTCTTAGTTTTAATTAAGTAAAAAGATGAGCGGTGTTGAGGAAGATGATGAAAATGCAAACAGGATTATTAATTACTAATTTCATTTATTAGTTAAACAATGCAGCCTCATTCTTAAAATGAAAAAGCATTTCTGATCATGGTTTTTCATTTTAAATATGCTAACAATTTGCTTCCATATGTAGGTTTGTAAAATGGCAGGAAATGCCAAATGGCTTTTAAAATTCTTCTCAAACTAATATCAGAAGTGCCTGAAATTTATATTTGCCTCCTTTATTGTAGGACCAGGAAAACATCTAAACATTTAACCCTTTTCTCTTTAATTAGGCGTATTTAGAGTTGTTTTTAAGAATAAGGATCTACTCATATGGCATGTGAGCGGGAAAATTAGAAGGTGAAAAAATGGCTTCTTTTCTAAGGTTTAGATCAATTGCATTATAAATTCAGTTTGTTTTTACATATTTAGGCTAAAAGCATTCAGTAACACAATCTGACCCTGCAGCATAGCTCACCATCCATAGCATCTCTCTGCAGTCATGAGGCAACGATTGTATAAATGAATGTCCACATCTTTTAAAGACTGAAATGAGGGTAAAGATTTCAATCAAAATGTTCCCAATTATAATTGAACACAATTCCCAATAATATAAGGTTTTAATGTCAAATTGCTTTAATAGAGCCCAATTTCTGGATGACCGATTGCTAACCTGTTGACAGATTATTCCACCTGAGCTGTAGATCTCTGCAGCTCCTCCAGAGTAAAGCTATGAAACACTGAATTCTTCAAGGGTTTGCAGCAGAAATTTCCTCCATCCCGACGTTAGCATAAGCTGGCTCAGGAGCTGGGATTTATCTGTTCAAGCTGCAGCTCCGTACGTCTCCGTATCGTTGGGCAAGACAACTGCACTTACCTGATGTTACCACCAACATCCATCAATGTCTGCTCTGTTCCTGGGTTTTCCTGTCGGGTTATTTCTAGAATGTTCTCTAACAAACCTTAAAGCTTCACACAACAGGTGGAGCGTATCGACACATTAGGTTAACTCTGAAAGCAACAGGTTGCACTGGGATTCATTTAGATGCATCAGAGCAAAGAAAACAAACATGGCAATTTGCTTTCTGAAAACTGTCCCTTTTATCCATAATAAAGAGTTTATGTGATGATGCATCACAGGAAATCCAAACTAAATCTTAGAAGGGTACATAAATACCTGCACACTCATGGGAAATTCAACAACAGGTTTTATTACTCAAATGGTAACTGCAACAGGCATGCATCAAAAAGGTGAATACAGCAAAGCCTTTACAAAAACTCTGCTCGACTCTGAAGTCTTTCCCAAAAAATATCTGTTGCAAAAAATTGTAGACAATTGTGTCAACAGCCTTAAAGTATGGTTTGGATATTTTAATGTAGATCTACTTAACTCAATTAACCATAAACGTCCTGAAGAGTTCATTAATACCATCTACAGTTTGAGCCTTTTTCCCCAAAATCACTAAACCCAGCTGGATCACACTTAACGGTGCCACTTTAATAGAAAATATATTTACTAATATCTTAGATAACAATAAGTTAAGTGAATCAATAGTTCAGCAAATTAGTGATCATCTTCAAGTCTTCATTGTCAGCGACAATTTCTCTATAAAATAATGAGGATGAAAGTAATCCAGTTTAAAACAGTAAAGACAGAGGAATCACTGAAGTCTTTCAAAGATGATTATGTTGAAACATAACTTGGAGTCTGTTTTGCAAGATGTCGATATAGCATATAATTAATAAAAACTTCCATTAATAATATTCTCTCATAAAAACAAATAGAAGTTTAATGGATCACCAAGGGTTTGCAAAAAGCCTGAAAAATAAAAAGAACAAACTATAAAGAGATCTCACAAGTCTTTGGATGTAGAGAATGAATATAAGAATAAATTAACTGCTATTCTACTAATAGCTAAACAGGATTATTGCAGTAAATTATTGGGTAGAAATAAGAATAATATCAAAGGGATTTGGAATTTATTCAATAATTTTATCAAGAAAATCTGGAAAAAGGAAATTTCCAGTTTTTGTAAACGATACGATTATAATTATAATTTCAATAAATATTTTGTTAGTGTTGGACCCAAACTGGCAGAAAATAATCCTGGATCCTATAACAACTGGATCTTTGAATGAAACATTAATCAACAGAAATCCTTGTTCACTGTTTCTCACTGCTGTGAGAGGAAGGGAATTGTCAATAAATGTAATAAGAGGTCGACTGACTGCGATGGCACTGATATGACCGTACTTAATAAGGTCATTTCAGTCACGTAAATTTACAGAAAATATGAAAAGTCTCAAGTTATTCCACTTTATAAATGTGAGGACTGAAAGCATTTCACAAATTATAGGCCTGTTTCTCTACTTCCAGTTTTCCAAAATTCTGGAGAAATTATTTTTGGATTAGATACATTGATTAATAAATATAAGTTGCTTTCTGAAAGTCAGTATGGATTTAGATGGATTTTATAATAATTATATTTAGATAAAGAGCCAAGCCTTTATCTCCAAATTGTCTTGTGCCTAAAAACCCATCAGGAGGCTCAGTGAATCTCCCTAATAAAGTTCAAAAACATGAAGTAACATGATCCATAAACTGCTGCCGTCCCTCTGTAGTCTAGTTCAAAACAGCTCCTGCAAACATCAGTTGGCTTAAAAATGGGAACTACAGAACTAATTCTTTTAGAATAGGTATATATATTAGGGTGAGCATATTTAGATTTCCATAAAGAGGACACTTTGCCCAGCCTCCAGACGGATTCAGACAGGCTTCTCAAAGGTTCATCAACAGCTTTATTATACCTAAATACCTGTTAATACCTGTAACAAGCAGTAACAAAATAGGAAAATTATAACTCATTTATAATACATGAATAAAATCTAAACATGACCTCTTCTGTATTAGTAAATACAGCTTCAACAAATGTTCCCAGGTCTAACAAAGTACTTAGTCACCTTTGCAGAATAACTCTCACCTCTCAGAGCTTTTTCAGGTTTTTCAGTGTCCATGTGAGCTTTGAGATCTCCAGCACCTTTATTAGACACTGAAACTAATGAGCCAGCTTTGCACACGGTGCACTCAGCCTCCCACTGGACTAAAAATGTTTGCTCGAGTTCATCTGTGAAGCTGAACTTTCATTTTGGCATTTTGTAATGATTTTTAATAAATAAAAACATCAGATTAGGCTAATTTATATGAAACCATATAAAGAAACACATTTTTACAATCCATGAGGTTTTTATTGCTGCTCGTTCATCAATTTAGAAGTGATTACAATAATTAAAAACATCCACAGCAGAATATAATCCATAAAATCAGTTGTATAAAATAGGTGATAGTTACTTTAAATCATAGCAGGTAAATAGAACATCTACAGAATCAAGAACTAAACTATTAGAATTAATTCAAAGGAAAATTATACTTTCAAAAATCTTTAAAAAGCAGAAACTTCACACTTCTAGAGGAGAGTCAGATTTCTTTAATACATTATTAAGACAAAGGCTTTTTACCGAGTTAAAGCAGGTTCAAACTGATCAGTAAAATAACAGCAACATCATCAATCTAGTTTATCTTTTTAAACAAACATGTTTCATCATTTTAGGACTTCAATTTACCTGAACTACAGACTCCAGCCTCTAAACTGAGTTCTTTGATGTCCCGTAGTTTAACCCCATAATCCCAGCACCCCCTTCCAAGGTGGCTGGAGCTACTTTGCAACATTAATTAGCTTGTAGCTGACTAACTCTGAGACTGACACACACTTCTATATGTCCCAAATCTTCATCTGAGACTCCTCTATAGATGATCTACTTCATTCTAATATCTATTGACCATAGCTCTAACACTGTGCCAAAAACAGTTGGAGTTTTGGTGGGCCTGGTTTCAACAACACACGTAGCAGGGCTGATTGATGCATTGCTAATGAAAGCCAACAAGACACTGAATTAGCTAAACTCTGATCATTTGCAGCTGACCTTAAAAAATCCTCCAAAAACATCAGAAAATCTGAGCAAAGCATATTAAATCTGTCCTACCTTTGCTTTTATTTTCATCTGAATTAAAATCTGTTTCTGGAATATATCCAACCAATAACTTATCATTCAGCTAAAAAAATAAAACTTGTGAGTTTTTATTCTAAATACTTTCATTGAAAAAAGTTGTGCTACACCATGCCAAAATGTTACAGCAGGGGTCCATCTGGATCAGCAAACCCTAACCTAACCCTTCATAACAGGAAAAGTGAAAAATTGTGAATGTAAACATCTTTTTGTCAGGACAACGTTCTTTTTTTTACCATTTAAATTTCCTCAGGCCCAAAATTGTTACCTTTCATATGTTCACATCCACATATTCACCCAGGACCTGAATATTTACCAGGTTTACATTATAACACCTTATCTGTTCTAGTTTCTATGTGAAATGAGCTTTATTAATTAACAGCTTCATCAAAATTTTGCTCAAAAGATCATTAACTGTGGGTTTCTCATGTAATGAGGTGAAGATGTCTAGATAGACATTTTATGACAAGTCAAACAGAAAACGCCTCTACTGTTCATTCCTGTGGAGTCTAACTGCTGTGACTTATATGAAACAAATGTTTAAATATATATATATAAATCATTCCACATCCTGCATGAATAACTGTCACCTGAAGACTCAAATTACCTTCTTGTTTAAAACCTTTGTCACAAATGTATGTGATTGATGTGTGAATCAAGACTAGATTTCTGAGTGAAGCTTTTTCCACAGTACAGACATGAAAAAGGTTTCTCACCTGTGTGAATTCTCATGTGTGTATCAAGACTAGATTTCTGAATAAAGCGTTTTCCACAAGACAGACATACAAAAGGTTTCTCCCCTGTGTGAATTCTCATGTGTGCATCAAGATGAGATTTCTTAATAAAGCTTTTTCCACAGGACAGACATTCAAAAGGTTTCTCACCTGTGTGAATTTTCATGTGTGCATTAAGGTCAGATTTTTGAGCGAAGCTTTTACCACAGGAAAGACATTCAAAAGGCTTTTCCCCTGTGTGATTTCTCATGTGAATAGTCAAACTACGTTTTCTAATAAACTTCTTGTCACAAATGGTACAAGAAAAATAATTCTCCCCTGTGTGGATTCTCATGTGTGCATCAAGATTAGATTTCGTAGTAAAGCGTTTTCCACAAGACAGACATTCAAAAGGTTTCTCCCCTGTGTGAATTCTAATGTGGTTATCAAGATGACATTTCTGAGTAAAGCTTTTTCCACAGGAGAGACATTCAAAAGGCTTCTCAGCTGTGTGGTTTCTCTTGTGAAAAGTCAAATGACTTTTTTCAGTAAACTTCTTGTTACAAATGGTACAGGAAAAAGGCTTCTCACCTGTGTGAATTCTCAAGTGTCTATCAAGATAAGATTGCCGAGTAAAGCTTTTTCCACAGGAAAGACATAAAAAAGGTTTCTCCCCTGTGTGGAATCTCATGTGTGCATCAAGATTAGATTTCTGAGTAAAGCTTTTTCCACAAGACAGACATTCAAAAGGCTTCTCACCTGTGTGAATTCTCATGTGAATAGTCAAATTATTCTTTTCAGTAAAATTCTTGTTACAAATGGTACAGGAAAAAGGCTTCTCACCTGTGTGGAATCTCATGTGTCTATCAAGATTAGATTTCATTGTAAAGCGTTTTCCACAAGACAGACATTCAAAAGGCTTCTCACCTGTGTGGAATCTCATGTGTCTATCAAGATTAGATTTCAGAGTAAAGTGTTTTCCACAAGACAGACATTCAAAAGGCTTCTCACCTGTGTGAATTCTCATGTGTCTATCAAGACTAGATTTCTGAGTAAAGCTTTTTCCACAGGAAAGACATTCAAAAGGTTTCTCACCTGTGTGAATTCTCATGTGAATATTAAGATCAGACTTGGAGGTGAAGCTTTTTCCACAGGACAGACATTCAAAAGGCTTCTCACCTGTGTGGAATCTCACATGTTTATCAAGATCAGATTTCATTTTGAAAATTTTTCCACAGGACAGACATTCATGAATCTTCTGACCTTTGTGAGTTCTTATGTGAACCATTAAATGTTCTTTATTTAGAAAAGTTTCTCCACATGTCAAACATGGGAAAGGTTGCAGCTCTTCATGCTCACTAATGGGGAGCTCCATGGTTTCCTCTTTTGTCCAGGGATCTTCTGGTTCTTGCTGCTCTTCTTTTATCTGCAGAGGTTCTGGTTCCTCTTGGTCCAAACAGGAATTCCTCTCCTGTCCACAGAGCTGCTGGTCAGAGAAATCCTCCTCTTTTCCAACAAAATCCTGCAGGCGGTCTGAAAGACAAACACAGCAGACTTATTATTGCAAGTTAAAGAAAGGACACCTCACATAAAAGCACCAAACTCTGTCCTTCAGTTTGGGGGCAAGTGGATCCTTTAATCATCATTGTGTCAATCTAACTACATACAAACAGACTGGAACTACATATCCCATCATGCAACCTGATAGTACAGTCACAGGTTTGGACCTCCACTTTTATCTATAATAGGGGTGGGTTAAAAAAATAAATAAATTTAATCGATTTTGGATCGATTCCAGTAAGATTTAACAAAATCAATGTGTAGGGAATGAGATCGATTAGTTTTATAGAGACGTGAGTGACATTGACGTACAAGAGCAGGTGTGGGCAAATGCAAAATGGCCGACGCAAGTAACACACCGCTCAGCAAGCCGTCCCAATTAAAGTCTGACGCCTGGAACCATTTCGGATTTAAAAGAACTAAAGACAATGTGGTGGATAAAGCCAAAGTGGTCTGCAAGATCTGTCAAGCGGAGGTCAGTTACTGTTAATAAACTACAAATCTCCAAAATCCCCTGACAAGATGTCATGCTATGCTAAAATCTGACAACAAACCTTCCAGAGCTACACAAAAAAAAATGGAGGGATTCGATAGCGTTACCAGCAAATTCTCCGCGGGCCATTAAGATAACTCAGGTCATCGCAACTTTTGTGTGCAAAGATTTACGGCCCTACTCTGTGGTGGAAAATGAAGGCTTTAAGCAGCTCGTTCATGTGCTCCAACCACACTATGTCATGGTGCAACGTAAACATCTGACCGACACCGTTATCCCCATGATGTAAACACGAGTGAAATGGGACATCAAAATGAAAATGCAGTTAGCAGAGAGTCAGCATAACTTTTGACACATGGACATCACTGTCAATGCAGTCCTGTATGACACTACATTGACAATGAGTGGCGCCTCATGTCTCATGTCCTACAGACCACTGAAGTTACCTTGAGCCACACTGCTGCAAATATTGCTAATATGTTGACGGGGGCCATACAGAAATGGGGGCTGAGCAGCAAACACCCAGCAGTTGTTATGGACATTGCTGCAAATATGGTTCATGCAGTGGAAACAACGCATTTATTCATTCATGATTAAAAGATTGGATTACAAAGAAAATTACTTAATTTAAGAGCTAAAGTATGCTCAATCTTTTTTTTTTTGTCCAATTGAACAGCAAGATAATAATGGCAATGATACGGATGAAAAATCTGAGGAAGCTTTGCCCAAGAAGCCAAAGAAATCCAGCACCTTGGAGTCTCTCTTTGGGACAGTTTATAAAAACCATACCTGAAGCCTTCACCAGCATGACTAGGCAGGGACTTACCTTCCATAATTTCCTTATTACACTTAGTGGAAAAGGAAGGTCCAGGTGGAAAGCCCCCAGATCCCCTCAGATCTTTTCAGGAAAGACCTCCATTTTGGTCCACCTCTTTTCAGAGAAGACCAATCCCCACTCAGAAAAACATCCCTACCAGGAAGTCAGCGATATTTCTCAGAATGTAAGATCAGAAAATGGGTCTTACTTAGACTGGGTAACCGGTTCTGGCCTGTTCAGGTCAGCTGCTGCCCATAGCTCACCTGCAGAGGTCCAGAGAGGCTGAAAAGCAGCCTGACATGCTCCCTAGCAGGTGACACATAAATTGTCTCCATAATCTGACAGCAAACAGATGGGTTCCTCAGAACTGCTGTCAGCTCCCATCATCAGCCCCTTTGGAACAAACTCCTGTTACATCCATTTGGCTCAATTTACAGATGAACTGGATCAGACCAGTTCTCATCCCGATAGAAGGTACTCAACATCTTGCATTTGTAACATTCTTCTCCATAGACATGTAGATAGAATGAAATGCAACCCAGAATCCACTTCTGCCCGTGGAATGGAGTGTGCCTCTATTCTTAAAGGAATAGTACACCCAAAACATGATTAGCCTTCATTTTCTACTCACCCCCATGCTGAACAAAACTCTGGAGTACTTTTTTGATATCTCAAATGCATCTGGAGATCTGGGAGGCTTCTTGCTGTCTGCTGACATTCAAATAATGGAGGTCTATGGTGCCCGAGACAGAAAGGTCCATAAAAGTCCACAAAAAACGTGTCAATATTCCTCCATACTGCTCGTCCAATGTATTCCAAGTGTCCTGAGTGGGTAGCGTCCATAATTTACCTGAAAAAAAGTCATTTAGAATGTTTTTAGAGCATAAACAGTAGTGTATAGGATTTCCTGAAAGCACGCACCTGCATGTTCACGACGCTACTGAGGCCGGCAGACCAAACCAGATGAAAGTGCGCATTCAGCGTCTGCTCTGCCGATAATGAAAGCGTAGAAGAAGAAATGTGCTGTTTACCTGTGCAAAGAAAGAAACAACGAAAGAAAAATGTCTGAGGACTTCAGTGTTGAGGAAGAGCATGAGTTCTTTGCCGAGCTGAATGCGCACTTTCATCCGGTTTGGTCTGCCGCGGTTTCCGTAGCGTCAGGAACGTGCAGGCGCGCTCTTTCAGGAAATCCTATACACTACTGTTTATGCTCTAAAAACATTCTAAATGACTTCGTTAAAAACACATGTGCATAGTACTGTTGGAGTTGTTATGATTTTTGTTGTTTTTATCATTTTATTCATTTATATGTTTTATATTGCTCTCAATCCTTTGTTTTTCTATGTTACTCTCATCACTGGAAATAGTGTATGCAGGTCATAAGACGGTCAAATGTTTTGCAAGAATGCTTTCCTGTTTTTCATTTGAGAAGCACAGAAGTTCCTGTTTTTCATTTAAGAAGCACAGAAGTGGAAGTTCGTAACCCCGACAACGTTTATAAAGCGTATACTGAAACCAGACAAGCTCCCTATCTTAAAACTTCATGCTATGTCTAAGAGATTGCGTAATCGAAACTAACGCCTGCTGTTGTTGTCATGTTCGGATTAATGTGTCTAACCCACATGCAGAACACTCGGAGGCAGATGAAAAAGTTCAAAGATTTATTAATAATAAATGTACAAAGTATGGTCAGATCCAAGAGGGGGCTTGACTGGTCACGAGTTGGTTCACTGCTGAGGAGGACAGAGAGATTAGTGGAGGTCCAGGTCTATTGCTGGTTGTGAGTGTTCAGGTCTGTACCTGTTCAGAAATGGAGCTGAGCTGCAGAGGGGGGGAACCTTGAGGGTCCAGAGGTTGTCGGCAGGCTGAGGGCAGAGGCAGAGCTTACTGAGTGCAGGCAGATCACTGATTGAGTTTTCCTTCCAGTAATTTTCTGAGAGCCATCAGTTTGGATGGCCTCTGTTTTTGAGGCATTAAGCTGCAGGAAGTTTTGACTCATCCATGCCTTTATATCCTCCAGGCAGGAGCTGAGGCGGGTGACAGAGTTGGCGGGGGAGCTGGGAGGAGTCATTTTAATGTAAAGTTGTGTGTCGTCAGCATAGCAGTGGAAGTTGACCCCATGCCTCCCGACGACACAACTAAGGGGGAGCATGTAGATGGTGAACAGGGTAGGGCCGAGCACGGAGCTCTGGGGGACCCCACAGGTGACAGTGTGAGGTCTGGATTAGGGGTGTGCAAAATAATCGTGATGATGATGCATCGTGATTCTAATTTTCGTGATCTACTGCATCGATTCTTGATGTCAAGAATCGATTATTAATTTAAAAAAATGAATAAATAAAATTGCATGAATGGTTGGCGAACATCAGCCAAAAACAAGTGCAATACCACTTCCAGTCCAGTAGATGTCGCTGGAAATGTGTTGACGCACGCTGCCTTGTGTCACAAGCATTTCCGGCCGTGGGATACTGTGCCGAGTCATTAAAAAACAAAACATGGAGGAGAAAATATTGCAATGCATCGCAATAATTCAAGTATCGCGATGCATCGTGATAGAATCGCATCGTGGCCTGTGAATCGTGATTCGAATCGAATCGTGACTTCTTTGGCAATACCCACCCCTAGTCTGGATGATGCCTCCCCCAGGGCCACGTACTCGGTCCTGTCAGTGAGGTAGGAGTGAAACCAGTGGAGGGCAGTGCCAGAGAGACCAGTGAAATGCTGGAGGCGGTGGAGGAGGATGTGGTGATCTACTGTGTCAAACGCAGCAGAGAGGTCGAGAAGAATGAGGAGGGACGTGAAACCGGAATCAGAGGCCATCAGCAGATCGCTGGTGACTCTGATGAGAGCTGTTTCTGTGCTGTGGGAGGGGCGAAAACCAGATTGGAATTTTTCATACAGATTATTGCATTTAAGGTGGTTGTGCAGCTGGGTGGAAACAACTTTTTCTAGGAGTTTGGAGATGAATGGGAGATTTGAAATGGGTCTGTAGTTTGACAGAGGTTCAGGGTCCAAGGTGGGGTTTTTTAGGAGTTTTTTTAGGGCAGTTTTAAGAGTAGATGGGACAGTACCCGTTTCCAGGGAACTGGCTATTATTTTGGTTATGAGACGACTAATGGATTGATGGTGAGTTTTGAGCAGAGGGGATGGGAGGGGATCTAAAGAGCAGGTGGATGGTTTAGATTTGGGGATGATGTTCTCGACCTCCTGCTGCATTGGCAGAAAGAAGTGTGATAGGAGTTGTGTGGGAGATGTCTCAGGGGTATCAATAGTGGTGCTGTTTGAAGGTGAAAGGGAAGAGCGGATGCTGTCTATTTTTGATATGAAGAAATCCAGAAACCGGTTGCAGTTTATATCTGTGTGGTTGTAGGAGGAGGAGACCTGTGGTTTGAGAATATGGCTGATTGCGGAAAAGGGTTTTCTGGAATTACCTGGGTTATTGTTGATGAGCGAGGAGTAGTAATTGGACCTGGCCTTGGAGAAGGCTGTAGCATAATTTCTGCGATGTTCCCGGTAGGCCAATTTATGCACCGTCAGGCCAGATGTTTTATATGCCCGCTCCAGGACACGGCCAGTCCTCTTCATTTGCCTTAGCTCTTTGGTGAACCAAGGAGCGGA